TTGTTTTCACACTCAGTAAACCAAAGGTGTCCACATTCTCTATATTCCCTTTTCAGACCTCAGACCAATATTGGGAAAACATGCATATCTGAAATACTTGTTACTCTGAGTAAAATTCTTTGCCAGAATTCTTTTCTAAAAGGCAACGCCTTCATTCTAGGAGATTAAAAACAGACATTTAAGATATAAATAGGCATATGCCTATTTATTTGGCCTGTGAAATGTAATTTGAATTTGGGCCTATAAAAGTTATCACAATAAGCATCATGTTACTAGTGATTTAAAAACTTATTTCCATTGTTCCATATTACAAGTCATTCATACACAATGTTCTGTGCAGTTAGTTATTGCTGTATTAGTGCTAGAGATTGCAAAAGTCAACTGTGAAACTGCCAAGAACTCTATACAGTCATATAAATCCAGAAGTTGAAGATAACAAGCTGTTACATGGTATGCTAAGTGGCTCATCTCACCATGACCATGTAACCAGTACTTCATAGGCAGCCTACTGGTTTCCAAATACAGTTTACAATGCTGATTTTGATCTAGAAAGCCCTAAATGGCTGGGATTCACTTATTTGAAAACTGTCACTTGATCATTGCTATTTTTAATTGTTTTCACTGCACTTTCCAGGTGAGATTTTTAACAACACTCAGCACTGGTCTAACTTTAATGTTTTGGCAGAACATTACAGTCTGGCACGAATATTTTATTTGTTAAGCTTACATAAAGATCAGACCTTCTAAGATAAAAACCTTCTAAATGCAAACGTGTCTGATCCTTAGCATCTACCATCCTAAACCAACACCTGGTTTTCTAATCCTTTTCAATATAAAACTATAAAAGCAGTACAAATTTAGACGCAGATATCCAACCACCACACACGTACTCACTTGTAAATTTACCGAAATTGTATTGTACATAAGATTCAGCTCTTACCCTTACTGTAGTCTTCTTCATTATAAGATTTTTTTTAAAGATGTGATAAAGCTGTACGGATGAGTATTAAGACTATTCTTGATTTATATGAACATTTTAATCTTCATAAACAATATTTTAGCCACTTTTAAAAATCTAGCGGACATTTACTTCTGAAGATACTACTAAAGGAAGCGGGATTAGTAATGAAATATATAGCCTTTTATTACTGATTATCATTTCAAACTCAACCCAAATCAGAAGTAAAGGTTGTTTCTATTTCTGACTCTTTGACGGTCTACATGAAATGGGTTTGACTGTCTCAGTTATCAGTAAACAGACCACAGAAGACCACCTCTACAACTAGCACACCTGTTGGCAGTTTCACTAAAGGAAGTCAATGAACAGATTATTCTTACATTTTAAGGTGAGCCTTCCAAGCCACTATGGGCAAACTTGAATTGTTGCCATTTGTGTTGGTCCTATTCCAAGCCTGTCACTTCAGCATCTTTTGTCAACATTAAATTCACAAATATTGTTAAAAGAAATTAGGAAAGACACGCTACCCAAATTTAAATGAATAACATTATTAACTACTTTATAAATTAATCATGTGGTTAATATTTACCAAACAGGATACAAAAAGATCTAGATCAGCTGTTCTCAAACGGAGGGTCGGGACCCCAAACTGGGTCATGACCCCGTTTTCATTGATCAGGGCTGGCATTAGACTTGCTAGGACCCAGGGCCGAAGCCCCACCGCCCAGGGCCAAAGCCTGAGAAGTTCAGCACTGGGTGGCAGTACTTAGGTTGCAGGCCCCAAGCCTGGGGCTGAAGCCCTTGGGCTTTGGGCCCCGCCACCCTGGGTGGCAGGGCTTGGGTGTTGGCTCCCCCTTCTCCCATCTTGGGTGGTGGTGCTCCGGCAGACTCAGGCTTCAGCCCCCCCTCCTTGGGTCATGTAGTAATTTTTGTCATCAGAAGGGGGTTGCAGTACAATGAAGTTTGAGAACCTCTGATCTAGATTAAAAATAATCCCCAAAACACTTGGTCTGTAATTTTAAATTCAGAACAAAACAGGTTATAATCTTTAGGAGTGAATGGGTTATACACTTGAAAATTAGCTACCAGTGATTAAAATGACACTGAAGTATATTTTCAAATGTTGTTCTGATAGGTAACTTTGTAGTCCCTGAAATATAAGAAGTACAGACTTTATAAATCAATCAAGTGTACTGGGAATTAGGATTACAGTTCCAAAAGTCTTTTTTGGTCCTACCAATTATCAGTTCTCATTCCTCTTACCCCAATTAAAAGCTGGAAAAGCAATCCCACTATAGCCATAACACTTATTGCACACAGGTTCAACTACCTTAGTTAGGAGGAAGATCACAGGAAGGGTGGTGTTAGGACTACTTTACTGAAGAATCATCCTCCTTTGAAAACTAATCCCTCAAACAAGGTTATTTCTAAAACTTTTTAAATCTGAATTGAACATTTCTTTCTCTAACTAGTATCTAAGGAGGACTGTTCCAAGATGCCTAGAATGGGGAGGAAAACAAAGGCTTCTACCTTCTTCCTAGTTGTTAGGAAAAAGTTAGCATATCAAATGAAGCTGCAGTGCAATGTCCTGGAATCCCGAGGCAATATTTTTTATGACATAGGTACATCTGCTGCTCACAGTCTCCAATTATCAAAGATTTTACACTCAAATAAGGCTCTCTTCCCAAAGGAAAGATCATTTAGATTAAGGCAGGGTTCAAATTTAGGAATAGCTATTCCTGATTAATTCCCCGTGGGGAATTATTCTAATTCTGAAATAAGATCACCTTCCAGAATAACTTAGTGTATATACAAGCTCTAAGTAAAGAGGTGAACATCTTTGGCCATCAAGTGTGCTTATGAAGAAGCAGCTTCCTAAATAGGACAGGATAAAATATATTCTTTTGGCAAACAGCAAGGGATTGCAGAATAAAGACATAAAATACAATCACATATCTGATTACAATATACACTCAGACCTGGTCTACACTTAAAAGTTAGGACAGCAGAGCTTTGGTGCTTAGTGGTGTGAAAAATTTACATCCCAAAGCAACGTCCTCAGCATAGATGCACTAGGTCAGCAGATTCTTCCAGTGACCTACCTACTGCTGCACAAGGAGGTGCATTACCTACAGCAATGAAAAAACCTCTTCCATCATTGTAGGAAGCATCTACACTATAGCGCCGGAGCAGCACAGCTATAGCGCCATAGCTGTGCCACTGTAGCACCCATAGTGTAATCAGGGCCTTAGATAGTATACTAGGATAATGGGTGCTATAGAAAAGCCTCTGATAGATGCCAACCTTTCGGAGCTTAATTCTACAATGATAAAACAGCTCAAACACAACTCTCTCTGACCACATCTATTCTAGTGAATATTTCCAACATCTGAGACTTTGCTCTTAGCTTCTCCCATCAGGACAGAGACGTGAGCAGAATATTCGGACATACCTAAGGCAACAATATCAAGTATCAGATTTGAAATCCTTTGATCACCTGGCCCTGTTATACATCCTTCAAAAGATCAGTTTTAGAAATCTCTAACATCAACCCTTCCTCCATACCAGAATAGTCTAATTATGCCCACAGCAAACTATTCACAATTCTCAAAATAACTACAAAGTCAAAGTCAGGCGAATCTAAAGGATTAATTGCCATTCTGTGCCATCCGAACCATGCTGAAGTAGCAACTCTTTTGATGAAAGCAAAGGGTTTTACCATATGTTGAGTGAGACATTTAAAAACAATCATAGGAGGGTAACAGGAAAAAGAGCTTTTCACCTCTAGGTTAGTGCTTCAAGTAAGGTCCACAATAGAAAACAGTTAGTCTGATGGACCTTTTACAGTTTGTGAAGTCAGACCAAAATCTGAGTTCAGAAAGCAGGGATCCACTGTTAGCACTGACAGACACCTTTGTGGTCAGTTTCTGTAGAATCCAAAAACTGAATATGCGAAGACTGAAATCTCTCATCTTAGGAACAGTCTCTCTGTCAACAGAGAGGCACATCCATGGTGCAAAGAAATCTGCCACTGTTTGTACTCTGCCTTTTAAAGGGGACAGATTATTTCTATTTACACTGGTATCAAATGAGCACCTTAAACCAGCACCAAAAATCACTTCACTTTTTTTTATTTCAATTTTTACTATTGAAGTATTTCATTCTGATTCTTAAGCTTTTGTCCTGTCTGTGTCTTGTCTAGTTTTGAGTCTGTGAGTTAGTGGCATGTATTGTTTACCTATTCCAGGATGTTTCAACTCCACTTACCGATACAAAGATAACGGCACTCTATGCAGTGTTACTTCGGCCTCTTGGCTATCAGTTTATCAACACTTTCACTTTCCCAGATAAAGGATCCATGTGGTAGGTAGGGGACAGGGGAGGGCAACTGCAGCAATCCCCATATGGTGCAGTGCACCCCAGAGCCACCACTACTCCTCTGCCCTGAGCCCAGCAGACACAGCAGAGGAGACGGGGTCAGAAGCCCTCTTCAGCAATATGCAGGATAACACCTGAGAGATGGACCCAAGAGACCAGAACTGGCTACCCGATTTTTATACCTATTTTCTGGGGTCTAAGCATGGCCATTATACACCTTTCAATTCACACCCTTCCTTAATCCGAGTTAACTCCCAGGTGTAGACAAGAGCTCAGACTAGCAGGGTGCAATGTCAGGGAAGGGGGAGTCACAACCCCGCCATCACAAAGCTAATGCTGTAGGAATCTTTCTTCAATCATTCAAAAGCCCCACTCAAGCCTGGTTATCAATCTGAGACATAGAGCCATTGCCCTGCCCGGGGCTTGAGAGACAAGCATAGCCCTGAAGCTGATGGAAGCTGAGGGTGGGAGGGGGGCAAGGTCAGGGCCCCTGACTTCCCCCGACTCAACCTCCCCCACTTCAGGGGCACCCCCGCCCGTAAACCCCGCCTGCCGGTGCTCGCACTCCAAGCCCAAAGCCGGAGGAGCCGCCGCCTGCGGCCCAGTAGACGTGGCACTGGCTGCGGCTGCCGCTGCGGGAGCCGCCCCCCCGCCGCGCCGGTACCTGTTACTCCAGATGCCGTAGAGCAGCTCCACGAAGGCGAAGGAGAGGTTGAGGCAGAGGAAGAAAAACAGGTTCCGCGAGGTCTTGTCGGACAGGATGGACCTAGACACACGGCACAGCGGTCACTCGCTGCCGCGGGCCCGGAGCAGGGCAACGGCGGCCAGGGCACGGCGGCTGACAGCGTCACCCCGGGGGGGAGCCGCCGCCGCCCCTTCCCTCCGCAGGTGGGGGGGGGTCCCCAGGGCGCCGCTTCCCGGTCCCCTGCTCCCAGGCACAGAGCCTGGGGCCGCCGGTTCCACCCCGGCCACTGCCCCCAGCCCCGGGGAGCGCGCCCCAGGGGACCCCCCCAGGCCCGGGCCCCGCCGCTCACCTGAACCAGCCCGAGACCTTGCTGAGCAGGTTGAACTTAGGCGGCTTGTACTCATCGTCCTTGATGGATAAAGGCAACATCTTCCCGGCGCCGGCGACCCCGGAAAGGAGCAGGGCAGGCTGGGAGCGGCGCGGCTGCCGCGCCGGGATCCGCCTCCCACACTTCCGGCATCTGCTCTGCGCCTGCGCAGGCGCCACGGGAGCGAACGGGCGGGGCCAGAAACCTAGTTCCACGTTTGGGGGCGGAGCTAGACCAGGAGACGGGGGCGATTGGCAGGACAACGGCCCCAGACTCTATCCGGAAGGGGCGGGGGTGGGTGAGGGCAAGCTAGTGCCTGAGCCTGCCGGCGCGTTCCCTTCCGCCTTGCTTCCTGGCGGGCCTGCGTGGGCTCGACGGGCTGGCCGTGGGGTGCTGCGGGCCTGTGTTTTGAGGCTCGCAGCAAAGCTCCTTTAACCAGAGCCTGCGGAGGAGATATGCCTCCGATCGTTCCTCCTTGCTGCAGCCGTTTACACCTTGCTTCTCCGTCCTGAATCCTTTCCTGGATGTTCAAAAATGACCTTTCCTTGAGTCTGCCCTCTCTCCGCACCCGGAATCCTCTGTGTGGTACGCCCATAACTACCTCCTTTGTAAATCAGAATGATCCCCTTTTTACTGCATAGCTTCGCTGCTTGACCCAGTCCCCTACACACCGCAGCTTGACAGCGCAGTTCAATAAAAGCAAGCCTTTGCTTGCAGATCACCTTCATCTATTGATAGGCGAGACAGCTGTATGGAGCCTCCCTCCGCCCACACAGACACCAGTCTAGGGACGCATTCTATACAGCAATTTCTTTAGCTATTTCATTTCCATGCATTTTAGTCAGAGTTCTCAGAGGCAGCCAAATCCTAACGCTTTCTTGAAAGATTTATGCTGTTACTAAATAAAACCTACTGAAGGTGGCGGCAAAATCCTCACTGTACTATAATATCCTATAGGGTAAAACAGTATTTGTATCAACGAAGGCGTGAATAGGTTAGATATGTACATTTCCTCTTTAATTTTCTATCCAAATGAACTTCACATAATTATATCTTGTTTTTCTGTGTGACCAGCAATCTATAGAGAAATATTTGTATTTGAACTAGAATGAGGAAGAGATTTAATAATAAAGACTATAAGGCAAATTAGGGAAATTTAGTTTTATAGATTCTCAGGTCCATTTCAAGGTGAACTTCTCCTCCCATAAAATAGACGGGTACCATTTGTGACACTGAAAACAAACACATGCAAAAAATATCTGATTCTCTGTAAGAATCAAAGCTTGCTTGAAAGTAGGGTTGACAAACTGTTATGGTCGGGATAACGCATGAACTACAAATTCAAGCCTGCTGGGAAGAGGAGTGTTTTCATCCAGCAGGAAGTACTATGCCACAGAAAGGGAAGGTAGTACGGGCTTGTTCCAGCCCTTCTGCTGAGTCTCTTATGTTGGGAGGAGGAAAGGAGGGTTTTTCTATCAATGTTGTTGACTTAAAAATACAACCAGTGCAAGCTGACTGAGTTTACAAAAAATGTGCAGGCTTCTTATGTTCGGTTAAAAAATCTCTATTCTTCCTTAGGTAAATCAAGGCTTAGACAAATAAGCTGTCTGGCTCTGGATCGTGTGAATGCCCACGGTCTCCAGCATTCTAGGTAAGGATACAATAAAATGCAATAATATGGAAGGTATTTTTAATTGGGGCAATGATGTGAAGTGGCTGTTCTATGAATCATTTATTTGTTTTTTTTAATGAACTGTTTTCATAAAATTAGTGCTGATTATTAGAATGGGTAGGGAGATACGGTCTAGGCAGACAACAACTTCAGAAGAATTCTTTCTTTAAAGGGGGGTTAAAATCGCATATCTTGACTGTCTCAGTATTTGTATTTTATTTTTGTTTAAAAGAGGTAAATATTCCTTACAAAGGAATGTTGAGACTTTCAGTGTGGGAAGAAGTCCAATACAGTTGCAGTGGAATTTTATATCCTACTTGCTGCATTGTTCAGCACATTCATACATGAAAGCACCATGATACTAATTCTAATTTAATATCTTAAATTGAGATTCATCTATGATATCCTTATTTATCATTTACAGCCCATTGTATGTTATTAAGTAAACACAAATGTACAGAAACCCAACAGTTTTAAAATAACACATAGCACTTACGTTTGGATTTTCATTGTGCTTTAAAAATATTAACTAGTTAATCTTCACAACAATCTTGGCAAGTATCACAATGCCTGTTTTGAAAATAGGGAATCTGAGATACAATTTAAGGTCCACATTTTTAAAAATGCACATTGATTGCAGCTGTATCAGTTTACGGCAGACCATCTTGAGACACCTCTGGGCCGATAAGTTCTGATAAGCAGCAGCTACTATTGATTTCATTAGGAATTGCACTTCCAAAAGTTAGGCACAATGGTGTCTCAAGCTGGACACCCACAAATTGAGGCAAACAAAATCACGGGTCACTTTTGAAAATGGTGTAAGTGATTTCTCCAAGGCCACACAGAATCAGAACCAGAACCTAAACTCAGGAGGTCCTGACTGTCTGTCACATGTTCAGATCACTAGACTGTGCTGTAAATATACAGACTTTCCAATTTGCATTTCTATCAGTAAAGTTTATATAACCTAAAATAAGTTATTTTGTTGATACGGAAGCATAGGTTCAACAACTTAACGCTAGCTCTTTCTCTTCTAAGTTCCCATATTTCTATTGTCCAAACATAGAAGCAGGTATCTATCTACGTTCCTCACACAGACAGATTTAACAAAAAAAACCCCTCACTAATTTTCCTCTTAGTCTGGAGAAAAGTAGACTGCGGGGGGTGGGGGTGAGGCATACTAGTTTTCAAGTACATAAAAGGTTGTTACAAGAAGGAGGGTGAATATTTTTTCTCGTTAACCTCCAAGGTTAGGACAAGAAGCAATGGGCTTGAATTGCACCAAGGGAGGTTTAGGTTGGACATTAGAAAAAACTTTCTGTCAGTGTAGTTCAGCACAAATTGCCTAGAGAGGCTGTAGAAACTCAGTCATTGGAGGTTTTTAAGAACAGGTCAGACAAACACCTGTCAGGAATGGTCTAGTTATTATGTAGTCCTACCTTGAGAGCAGGGGACTGGACTAGATGACCTATTGAGGTCTCTTCCAGTCCTACACTTCTATGATTGTCTTCCATCCAAAATGTATGAAATGCTCATTCTGATTTGCAGGCATGGAAAATGCCACCTCTGCCGTTCACAGATACCCCATAAAGTGCTCACCCTTATTATTCACTATGAGTACTAACTAGAGGCTCCAACAAAACTTGTGGCCCTATTGTGCTAGGCACAGTGCAAAAACAGAGTATAAATAACCCTGCCCCAAAGAGCTTATAATTTAAATAGAGACAGAGAGAGGAAGTATTTCCCTTTCTAGACAATGAGGATGCTACTAGACAGAGAGATTAAGGCTCCAATCCTGCAATGACCTGCAGGCAAGGAGATCCCTAGTTCCTTCACTGGCACAAGTGACCTGTCCAATGTCGTGTGGGAAGTCTGTGACAGAACTATGAACTAAACCTGGATCTCCTGGACTGCAATCTAGTGCCTTAACTACAAGACCATCCTTCTTTTCTGCCCTTTCACTTTTGCTACCAACCCATCTACCCTCTTGCACCTGAACTTTTATTGCCATCTCCACCTCACCTGCCTTCAAATGAGACAGGAAAAATCGTAATGATCACCATACATGCTTCCCCTTTAACCTCTAAATCAACCAATAAACATGGGAGATGGAGAACATGAATGGCATGCACTGGAAAAGTGGGAGGCTATCACCTGAACCAGCGGTGATTATGGTAGCCCACGATGTACTCTAATGTGGTCTAGTGGATATGACATATTGGACTGAGATTGAGGACACTGGAGTTCTTTTCGTAGCTCTGCGTCACCAACCTGATGTTTCATTTTGGACAGGTCACTTCATCTTTCTGTGCCTCTCTTTCTCTTTCCACACTATCTTGTTTATTTAGATCGCAAACTCGTCCAGACTACCTATCAAAATGGGGGCCTGTAAGTATTACTGTAATACAAATAAATAATATTGCAATGAGCAGCTAAATATGCTTGAGCTAAGAACATTTTTCTTTCTAACATACTGGTTTAGCAATGCATTTTTATAGTGGTCATGAAATCCAATGAAAACTCTTCAGCTGAACAACAGGAAAAGATGGACAGTTGCCAAGAATGTGTACATTCATCAGTTGTTGAGATGAACACTTGTTTTATACACAAATATATGACTGTGACAGGATCTTGGGTGATTGGTGAGCAAATGCATGATCAAAAGTTACATAATTCCTTTCACCTCCAACAGATCCAAACAGAATTGATTTCACCTAATCAGCACCATCCTTTAAAACAAACCAAAATATACCCAGTCCATCTTGGCAAAAATGAGGTAAGTACATTTTTTTTAAAACTAAAAGTATGACTTTATTAAATTGTTTCATGCTAATATTGTCTAAACTGGTCTGTTACTGTGTAATTAATTAAGCTTGCATTTATTGTACCCAGAGGAAAGTAACATCCCTGTAAACTTTAATACTTTCTCTAGGGTTTTAAACATGAAAGATCATCACGTCTCACCAATTTTTAAACAGAACTCCCCACTGAAATCAATGGGGGGGGAGGGGGGGTCTCTGCTTAAGCAAAACGCCACTCCCAGCATGGCCCACTAGTTGTTTCTTTATAACCTTTATTGATCAGTAGCAAGCTTAGAAAGTTGCATCTGACTGATATGTCTTGAGAATAAATGAGAGCAAAAGTACATAACAATTTAAAAAGTTTACCTAGGATACCCACCTCATAGGGCGTACCTGCATAGGGCGTACCTGCCCTATGAGAAAGAAACAAGAGGCTATTACAGAAGTGGTGGCGATGGTTCCTAAGAGATGAATCAGGATATCATTTAATCAAATCAGCTGTATTCAAAGTAAGAATACAGATGATTTTGCCAAGATCCTATAGCAACAACCAAAAATCTCAATGATGAAGCTAAAGTTATATCAGCAAAGTCATTTTACATATTGGATGCTCTCAAGTTAGAGTTGATCAAGATATGTACTAATATAGTCTTAATACCCAAGATATTTGGGGTTTTCTCCTCTTCTGTACACATCATGTTTGAAGAAAATATTAATTTAAAAGATTATTTCAAAATAATATTTTTGTGTCTCAGTGCATACCATGCAATGATACGAAAATAAAAAGTACAAAGACAACATTAATAAAGGCACATTGGGATACTGCATATTTCAGTAAACAAATAAATGCAACTAAATCTCAGAGATGAGGTGTGTGAGGTAATATTTTTTATTGGACCAACTTCTGTTGGTGAGAGAGACAAGAGACCAACACAACTAAAACAACATTGCATATAATAATCTCAGGTCCATCAAGATATTTCAGAAATAACAAGACACAAAGCTGATGAGTTTCTTTGGATTGATCTGCTTCAGCATATTCAATGAACAATAGTCAAGTAACTGGCATATGAATAATTCTTACGGAAAATATATTATTTCAAAATGAGAGTTGAAATGAATTATATGTGCCAGCAACCAGACTGAACACATTAAATAATAGCTACTTAATACTATTAGACAACACCCCCACATACAGTGTTCTCCATGCCGGATGTAAGTTTTGAGACAAGGCCCTCTAGTTATTGTGGTGCAGCAGCACCACTAGATTGTGACTAATTGATTGTGTGACTAAACTATATGGTTGCCTTTCCATGGCAGCATAAAATAAACAGAAGAACATTGAAACACAGGGTGATTTTCTTTTAAAATTGAATTATATATTAAAATAAATAACCAGTAATACTGCACTGAATTGTAGAATATAGAGATGTAAAAGAGCTATCTGGGCATCTCAGCCATCTTCCTTCCAATTCATGCTCATTCCTTGTCACATTTTCTTGTGTTTTGTCCAAGTGTATTGATTCACTCACCCCACACTTTGCCTTTGAGCGCTTTTATCACGTCACTGGTTGGTTCACATACACAGTGATGATGTGATTCCTATCCAGGCTTTATCTGCCTCCTTGTAGACATGCCCAAGAATGTGCTCAGTCTGTCTGTAGTATTGAAATTCACTGCCTAGTATCATAGTTGTGTCCTTACTGACTCCAGCCCAATGCCTGCCACAGGAAGGAGAGGCTCTGCACCTCAAATAGTCAGAATATTACAGAGAGGAAATTAACCCTGTCACTGCCTCTGGCTCTGGCTCCTTTCCCACACAATGCAAACATGGTTTAGTCTTTCCCATCTTAAGAAAAAAAAAAAAAACCCACAATTGACCATTGACACCACTTGCCTCTTCAGCTCCCGCCCCATCTCCCCTCTTCATTTACTCTCTAAACTCTCTGAATGTAGTATTTGCAGTAGCTATCTGGAATTCCTCTCCAGTACAATCCTAAACCCTCTCCAATCGAGCTTCCACCCCTTGCACTCAATTGAAAGCACTCTCACTGAAGTTTCCAATTACTTCCTCTTAGAACTAGTACTCCATTCTCATCCTCTTTGACCTGTCAGCTACTTTCAACACATGCTCTTCTTCTTGAAATCTTGTCCTCCCTTGGCTTCCCATAACTGTGTCCTCTCCTAGTTCTTTTCCTCTCTCTCTAATTACTCCTCCTACCTCTCTGATTGCTCCATTAGCATGTACTTCAGAGGATCCTTGTCTTCCCCCTCCAGATTTCTGTGGGGGTTTGCACAGGTCCTTAGTCTCCCTTCTAAACGTCTTCCTCTATGCCTTAGCTCTGTGTAATCTCACTTGCAAACACAAATGCAACTACCATCTCTAAGCTGATGAATTACAGATCTATCTCTGCTCCAGATCTGTCTCCTTCTGACCAAACTAAAATCTCTGCCTTTCAATGACATCTCCTTGTGGATGTCCAGCCAGCAGCTCAAATTCAACATGGCTAAGAGAGCTCTTACTCTTCTCACCAAAAACCCTCTATGCTATCTCCTTTCTCTTTCACAGTGGACAATACCACCATCCTGCCTTCACTCGGACCCATAACCTGAGCATTATCTTCAACTCAGACTTCTGTCTAGGTCCTCACATCCAGGCTATGTCTCATCTTGCAGATTCTTTCTGCATAAAATATCTAAGATATGGCCTTTCCTATCTATCTACACAGTTAAAACTTTCGTCCAGGCTCTCATTATCTCACATACTGATTACTGCAACTTCCTTTTCTCTGGCCTTAAATGCAGTCTTGTCTACTCATATCCATGCAGAATGCTGCTGCAAAGATCATTTTCCGAGCTCATCGCTTGGACCATGTCACTCCTTTCTTTGCACCCCTTAGGCTACCCCTTTAATAAGTAATTAAATATTAGTTACTTGTTTTCACTTTCAAGGCCCATCACAACACATCTCCATCTTACCTATCATCTCTCGTCCGGTATTGAGAGGTCACCCCTCCTTCCGATCAGCCCATGATGCAAGCTTCTATCACCCACTTGTTAAATTTTCAAACAAGCACCTCTGTTCTTTCTCCCATGCTGATCGTCACACTTGGGAGGAACTCCTCATATACATCCACAAAGGCACTTCATTGTTCTCCTTCAAATCTCCTAAAATCTATCCTTTGTTGTGATGCCTACAAATAGCTTGACAACAGTTAGACAACTACCTATCATGCTGACTAATACTGTCTCATTGTATCCTTGTACTCCCTGGTTTGTCTGTATCAGTTGTCTCTTATCTTACAATCTAAGTATAAGGCCTTTGCGGCAGGGACTGTCTTTTTGTTCTGTGTTTGTACAGTGCCTAGCACAACGGAGTTCTGGACCGTGATTAGAGCTTTTAAGCGTTACAATAATATCGATAATAATAAACCAAACTTCTTGCTGCCTCCTGTCCTGGATGGCAGAATCTCTAATGATGGATTTTCCCTGCCATTCTCTTCCTACAAAAACTGTCAACTTTTTCATGATTTAGTAAGCAGAGTCAGGAAGCAGTGCAGTGGAAGAGGAGAAGGGAGTGGACAGAACTGAGCATTGAGGTCTCTGCAGAAAAGTCATGCCTTGAAGAGGCATAGAGGCAGTCCTACCCTTTCATCCCTAGTGATGATTCCTTTCAGTCAATTTGGGACAGTTTAGTGAAGCTTGCCTATAACTATGCTGTACCTGTTACATTAATAAACAAAGGACTCTGGAGTTATTAATCCAGCACTTTTCATAAGAATTAAAATTCACTTAAACCCAAATAATTATGGATAGACTATAAGTTCTTTGGATCAGAGACTGTCATTTGCTATATGTTTGTAAAGCCCTAGCAAAATGGGTCCCAGACTGGTTGGCCTCTAGGTACTTTCTTAATATAAATGTTTAGTGATGCAAGGAGGAGGTGGTGGGAATAGGCAGTGAGCAGGAGGAGGCATTGGAGTTGAGGGTTCAAGTGGGAAGAAGGAGGGGAAGATGCTCCTTGATTCTACTTTCATTATTCTTGGCACAAGCCCCACCTAGTAGAGTTAACATACATGAGTGTCAAGGTAGACTTCGTATGGGATTCATGACACATCTTGAGTTTTGCTACCACTCATGTGTCTATTGCCTCGGGCGGTCATCTTTATTGCTTCTCCCTGGTACCAGCCCTATATCTGTCATTTTGGCCATCATTGTGCATCACACTTCTCTGGAAAAAAAACCCCTTTTGATCCGTGTTCAATCATCTGCTATTTCTCAGTGGGTGACCTCATAGGTAACATCACATGTAGACTTAACTCCTGGTGTACTTGCAAGACAAGAGTACATTCATGTGTAGTTTTAGAGAGGATACTAGAATATTATCTCATGTTTCACATAATGATTATACAAATAAAGTTTTTAAGGACCGTCTCAGACTATTTGATAAGGGGTTTTTTAATACAAATAGTAATTATTCTTTCTATCACAGGAGCACGTAGAGGCTCCAGAAAAGATTTATTCATTTACTTGGACAAAACTCCAATTTACTTTAATTGGAATTTTGCTTGAGTATGAGCTGAGTGAGGTCTATGTTAATTTTACAGTGAACTGACTATGTAGGTAGATGACTGATGAATTTTCTCTTCCCATTTCAATTTTTGTTAATAAAGATGTCATCACATCTGTAAGCTACCAGGAAGAGTTATGGGAATCCGACTACTTCGCTTCTCGTCTGTGGTGATCTTTGTCTTACTCCTTGTGGCAGGTGCTTTAATGGCTTTGCTTCCTAACAGTAAAGATGACAAAATGCCCAATTTGCGAAGGGAACCAAAATCCCAGAGCCAGTCTGCCTTGGATTCATTTACTCTTGTTATGCAGACATACAACAGAACTGACTTATTGCTGAAACTCTTAAATCATTATCAAGCCATCCCCCATCTACACAAAGTAATTGTTGTGTGGAACAATGTTGGGGAGAAGATGCCAGAAGAAATGTGGAATTCTTTGGGACCACATCCTGTACCTGTTGTCTTCAAAGTGCAGACCATGAATCACATGAGGAACAGACTCCAGATCTTCCCTGAATTGGAAACAAAAGGTAATGAATGCCTCACTCTTATAGATAGCATTGTTGCTAACAATATTATTTCCACTTTTCAGGACACTTATCATTTTATCTATCACTCAGAACAACTGCATATTTGATCATTATGGGAAAACTCCCACTGACCACGTGGATCCAGAAACCTCTGAATCCACCAGCTGTTGAGCAATTCCACTTAGCAGAAAACAGCAGCAGGGAAGATGTAAGCAGCAGGACACATGGAGATGATGTAGCATGGATGTTAGACACCCTCCACCCCTCAGAGGCTGTATTAGCAGCACTGGGTGGAGGAGAGAATGGGGGGAGGGCCCTTGCTGTACTCATGGAAATATGGCTGCTATCTCAGTTTCTTCTTTCAGGCAAAGGTGACTAGATAGATTAGCTTTCCAGCCAAATCCAAAAATCCTCCCTAATCCAACAAAACTAACATAAAAAAGTCCAAATCAGTACAGGGGTTCACATGCCTTTTTCTACAGCCCTTTGGTGGAAATCCAAAAGTATGTGCTGCTCTCTATATTCCCCCCTTAGCCCAGTCTGATTCTTTAGCCCAAATCACTACTCCTTCTCTGGGTATTTTTCCCTGCGTTTTGGCTTTTCATCCAGGCCTCTTCCTCAACTCTTTGCAGGAGAGACCCGACAACAAGTCTTGTTTCCTTCAAGTAAAAAGACGCACAAGTCCCACCTCTTTTGTGGGCTCTTTCTTGTTTGTAAAAAGGAAACTTTTATTTCACTACCCTCTACGCTAGCATACGTTGCTACTCAACCTAAAATTCCCAGAAAGCCTCTGAGCACTACAGCCCCCAGAATGCCCTGCTGCTTAATCAGGGTTGCACTGAGCCATAGCATTGCCGTAAAGGGGTCAGCACCCCATTATGTTTCCTCCCTGAGGAACTGACCTACGTGCATCCTGCTTTCACCCCTACATGCAGCATGTTTTCAGGTTCTAGGATCTCATACAAGGCCAGAAGGGACCACGAAATCATCTAATCTGATCCCTTGTATATGACAGATTACCCATCAAATCCACCCAGCACTCCCATACCACACGCAACAACTGAAATTCAACCATAGTATTACACATGAAACTAGACTATTACATGTGACACGGAGATAACAAGAGGGACAGAGGTGCATGAATGCCTGAGACTTCTGCAATGTCAGGGAACTGATTTAAGTGAGATATACCCAGTTAATCCCTCCCATCTGAAGCAACAGGCCTTATCCTGCAGTTAATAAGAGGGAATTTTTGCCTATATAATATGCTCTTTTTGCCTGTCTAGGTCCCAGAGAAGTGGTGTGGAAATACTTATGTCTTGGTGTTTCCTTGATGTTAAGAAATAATTATTATGTGGAAAATCATATAATGCATCATACTGGACAATATGGGATCTGATTATTTTTCCTTGATTTTTATAGTTGTCCTTTACACAGTATTAAAAAGCTATTAGGACTCCAACGTGACCTGCAATGAGTAAAATCTGTTGTATTCCTTTGCCAACCCCTCTTCCCCCCCCGCCCGACCACAGATTTTCCACTGTACAGCTGTTCAGCTATGCTACACAACTTTTAATGCTATAGTGATAGTTTGTGATTGATAATAGCAATAATGTGCTAAAAATTATGTTTGCTTCAGGTCAATTAATCATCTGTTACAACTGCAAAGTTAAACATCCTTTTCACTGTAACCTTAATATCTAAGTATACATTTTCAGCCTGTTGCATGGTGATTTAGCTATGCACCTCACCCTAATGTTTATAGGAGTTGTCTGACTAGCTTGTCATTGCACATAGCACAGGTAAATTCACACATACAGACAGTCCTCGGACTTATGACACAATTGGTTCCTGAAAATTGCATCATAAGTCGAAACGTCGTAACTCGGAACTGCAGGCGTCGTAAAGTCAAAACCAATGGTCGTAAGTCAAATCAGGGTGTCAACCTAGAAGGGTCGTACGTGCTGTTTGTCTTAAGTCAAAGCTCATAAAGTTGAGGACTGCCTGTATTTATCACTGAATGATTTTAAATTTTTCTTTACCTTAATTAAAAAGTGTAAATGTCTTTTTTCCTCTCTCCAGCTGTTTTAATGATGGATGACGACACACTGATTAGTGCCTATGACCTTGCTTTTGCCTTCTCTGTTTGGCAGGTAATGTTTGTATATTGCATCCTGCATATTTATAATGGAGTTTATATCAATTTTATTAAATGGAAAGATTAAATCAGTTCATTGTTGCTATTTCTAGGACATACTGTTATCATCTGTCATATAGATGATCAGCTAAATTCTAAAAGGCAAGAGACGCTGAAGAATAATATTTTAATGATACAAAATTACAGACTGCCGGTATAAGCGATGTTTTTATCATTCCTCTGCTTAAAAGGCAAATTACAAAGTCACAGCTATCAGAAAATCTAATTGGTTAAATGCAGCAAAGAAATTTTAATTTGATCTGGAAGCTGTGCACCAGAAATCAATAGTAATATTTCTCTTTACCGTGCAGAGATTATCTGTAGGCTTATTTTTGATCCCAAACATGTGACTGCAAATTAACTTTGGCCAGATGCTACTTGGCATTGTATGATGTGGAGGGAAGCACAGTCTATCAGCTTTTGCAGGTCATTGTGTATTAACTTGCAACAATCTCCATGTGGTGCAGGCCAGCAGACCACAGAACTGATTATTTTATATTATCTGCATCTTTCATAGCAATTAATTTGCACTTCTATCAATAATAGCCTCATAAGGGATACTTCTATTAAAAGGTTTTGTATTGCTGTATTGATTAACATTTTGACTGTAGTGCGGAACTTTAATTTTGCTATATTTTGATTTTCTTACAGCAATTTCCAGATCAGATAGTGGGATTTGTTCCTAGAAAGCATGTTTCCACTCCTTCAGGTATATACAGTTATGGCAGCTTTGAATTGCAGACCCCTGGATTTGGAAATGGGGACCAGTACTCCATGGTTCTCATCGGAGCAGCATTCTTCCACAGTGGATACCTAGAACTCTTTCAAAAGCAGCCTGACGCTGTTCATGCTTTGATAGATGAAACTCAAAACTGTGATGATATTGTCATGAATTTTCTAGTGGCAAAGCATACCGGAAAGCCTTCAGGAGTGTTTGTGAAACCTGTTGACATAAGGAATTTAGAAAAAGAGACTAACAGTGGTTATTCCGGAATGTGGCACCGAGCAGAGCACTTGCTACAAAGATCTTACTGTCTAAACAAATTGGTTAATATTTATGACAGTATGCCCTTAAAATATTCTAACATTATAATTTCTCAGTTTGGGTTCCCTAATTATGCCAATTACAAGAATAAAATGTAAGAATGTATAGTACATGGGGTATATGTTACACATCAAACAGTGAATTCAAGTCAGTGTAAGTTAAATGCTGAAGGGCCAGAAGAAGGCATACATTACTCCAGCTTGTCCTCCTTTACACATAGCCTCTGAATTTTGCCCACAGTATTTTCTTTCCCCAGTGTAAGTTATTGAGAAGTTTAAAGAACAGCATATGTGTAATGTTCACTTATAATAAATTCACCTTCATCTCTTAATACTTGAGAAGCTGCTGTTGTCGAAATTACAGGGCTAGACCTTCAAAAGCATGTAGAGAAAAATGGACAATCACTTGGTGCACACATATGGAAGAACTAAACTTCTGTTTCTTTAGAATGGTATTTTGGCATATTTGTGTTGTTATACATATTTTTTTTTTGAGACTGTTCTATTTTTCTCAACAATTCCTAGTGAAAAGTTTTAAGGGCTACACTGAACTGTTTGCGAGGATATTAGACTTGGTTATAAAACTCTTCACAGCTTGTATGTTAACTACTGTTCTTCAGCGTGAAATGTTCCTGAGGTTCCAATCAAACCATAAACCTAACAAAGTCATGGAACAAAGCACGGTCTCTGTATCAAAAATCTCTAGATGCCTCACATATAACAATGGCCACTGAGGGGTTATGGAGCATAATGTTGCTGATACCGCCTTTTTTCCTATCATTACTTTGCCCACAGTCACTGGGAGGCTGCTCAGGAACTGAAAGGTAAACGTTCTAATTGTTAACTTGGGAAAGATAACGAACATGAAAAGCATATATCATAAAAAATGTAGCTTATGTTACCACATATGCAGCCAAAAGAGACAGATGCCATATTTGCTACTTACTACGGCCTTTAGAACTTACTCTTATTTCAGTATTTTGCATATACAGTAGAACCTCAGAGTTATAAACAACCTCCATTCCCGAGGCATTTATAACTCTGATGTTCTTAACTGAACAAAACATTATGGTTGTTCTTTCAAAAGTTTACAACTTTGATTTAATACAGCTTTGAAACGTTGCTATGCAGAAGAAAAATGCAGCTTTCCCTTTATTTTTTTTTAGTAGTTTACGTTTAACACTGTACTGTATTTGCTTTTTTTTCTTTGGTCTTTGGTGCTTCTGGTTCCAAATGAGGTACGTAGTTGACTGGTCAGTTCGTAACTCTGGTGTGCGTAACTCTGAGGTTCTGCTGTGCATTGTGCTGGAGAAGTGTGCCTGAAAAGCAACTCATACTTCTAAAAAAATGTTTTAAGTATAATTCATGGTAGTAACTACAGATATATTTTATGTCTGTCTAGCTATTTTTGCATCTGATCCAGAAGGTACATTTTGTAAGCGTACAGGTCTACTTTATTTTGTTTTACTGTTTGAATTGAATATATTCTATTTTTATTTCCTTCACTTATTTTCAAATGGCAAAACTAATAAACGTCTATGATAAAAATAAAATGTTGTGTAGTTTATGGAGACATTAGGAAATATGTTGTAGGCTACATTTCCTGGCGAGGACTGTATTAGATGACTAGTTGGGTCTTTTCAGTCTCTGAATTCTTTGGTTGTACCTATGTTAAATGGACTTGTTACCATCAGCTGATATCAGCTTTGGACTGCTGAACTAGTACTGGAAACATTTTAAATATACATCCTAAATATAGGACAAAACTATTACAAAAAATATTCTTGAGACGTGGAAGAAATAATCTATGGCAAGGTAATTTAGACACGGACAGATCAGATCATTGAGCCTTGGTGGAACCAAGTCTCAGAACTAAAAAAGGAGTTAGTCCCATCTGCACTAGCAGTAAATATTGTTCTAAATGCTGGTTCAAGGGGATCTGTGGCAGACAACCATTGTCAGGAATGAGTCATTTTCCTAGTATAGACATGATTTATGACTATCATTCTTGTAATAAGTTAGCTGAGAAAAAAGGACTCTTGAGTAATGTCAGAAGTTCTTTACAAGTAGGCTGATGATGACCATGTTTTTTACACTTGTTCTATTAGTTGTATTACAGGATTTGTTTTAGATAGTGTAATCTTGTTAGCTTTAGAAGTTGTCAAATTTTAAGTGGCAAAGCATGTTTTAATGTGAAGACTAAAACTCTGCTGACTTATCTTGTTGGAGTAATCGAAGTAGATTTAATGATAGTGATAACAGTGATAAATAGTATATACATATCTGTGGTCTTTCTACCAATGCAGACCTCCTTGCAGTAACTCACTGTGCATCACTTGCTTATTGTTGCTTCTGTGACATTTTTCTTTTCTGTATCAGTTGTCAATTAATAAAATAAGTGTTTCTCATATTGGTAAATTAATTTGTAGCATTGTTATACAAATTATATACTTATGTACTTTTTTGTCTTATAGTAGTACTATTGGCAAAGTTTTAAAGTGTTAGGTACCTAAGCTGTGCCCACAAAATTGGTGTACAAACCCGCCCCACCTAACAAATCTTGCCTTTCTACAGGCAGTTTGGGCAAATAGGTGCAATATGTACCCAAAGGGTTAGGTTAGGCCCCCCCATTTGAAAATTTTGGCATTAAGCATCTGGTTTAAACCTAGAAATCAAAGAAAATTAAAATCTCATGCTGCAACTCTAGTCCTAAATCATCCTCCTGTGCCTAGGAGTTCAAAGTTTTACTACTGTATCTTCCTTCAATTGGTGTGGGTAGTAGCTCCATTTGCCATATATTAAAGTTCCGTAAGGGACAGGGTAGTATGACTCTTAGTATGCTGCAAGTCTTAAGCACAATGAGCAGTGTAAAATTTACATTTTAGCCTTAACTGTATTTTCTGATGTTTGTCAAACCCAGATTACCTACCTCTCCGAAGAAAAATAATAACAGATAGGGAAAAGGAACCCTTCCTGGACAGATGATCAGGCAAGAACCCTATAATTTTCCTCAAGAGTTTTATTTTTTTTTAAAGGAAAGCAGTCCATATAAAGCCCATCCATCCCATCTTCAAATCTGTTTGAAGCTTCCAACACTAGGACTGGACTAGTCAGTGGATGAACAAATTCTGAAAATCAGTAGTAGTAAAACATGGGAGGTAGAGAGTTTTATTTACATGAGTTCTTGCCATCTGAAGTTTTTAAACAACTTACTCCCAAGGTACAGGGTTTGTGGGGAAGTAACCCACTTAGGCAACTTTTACTCATGCTGAAAAGTATGTACTTGTGCAAGTAGTCCCTTTAAGTCAGTAAGTGTGAAACTGATCCCTCTGCAAAGGGCTAGCACAAGGTGTATGCACCATGTAAATCCCAGTTAAAACAGGGTTAAGTGGGACTAAGCTATTACTATTCCAAGTTAATAAAAGGTTGCAGAAAGAGGTCCATAGTGAGGTCAGAACCAAACTGTTTTGCTCTCTTCCCCCACCAACAAATCCTTCATGAAAATAAAATAACTAGACATATGCACGTGTAAAGAGTGGTATTTCTGAGCTGGTGGGGACTGAATTGGAGGGAGTGGGAGTTGATGGGGAACGGGAAGTTCTAAAATGACAAGGGGCTGGGCTGGTGCACTGAACATGGTAGTCTTTTAAGGCAGGCATGGCCTACCATGGCTGTTGCAGGGCCTCAGACCCTTTAAGACCTCAGGATTGTGGCAGCTTTGGTCTCCAGACAAGTTATGTGACTAATCATATGATGAAACTGAGAAAAAGGCCTGATAAGAAGAGAGGTATGTCTTATGGCTAAGTCTGAAAAAGACCCAGAGCAAGAGAATTGCCTCTCAGACCTGCCAGTGAAGCAACAGCTGTAACAGTTTATCCTCCCCTGGTAAGGATTTGGGAAAGGAGCATAAGTAAGGTTTTGGCCAGCAAGTGGGTCAGAGACCACTTGGAACTACTGTAGATGTCTGCAACTGGGGGGAGAGGAGGAGACTATACACAGAAGGTGGTGAAGGGCTGGGGGAACCCGTATAGCCAAGGGTGAGGAAGACTGTTGTGGACCCTGATATGAGAGGAGAAGGACTACAAAGAAAACCTAAAGGCTTCACAGCCCTTTAATTAAGGACAAGTTGGATGACAGGGAGCTTCCTGTTCAAGTACTCGAATAGAACCAGTATATTATTAAACAGACCCCAGAAAGGGACATGCTATTTTGGAACTTTAGCCATGCAGTGTGTGAGCAGCCCAGATGTATGATTGGAGAGGAAACTCAGGCATAGTGGTGTGCCTGAGAGAGACTAGGTAATCTGAACTACCCATATTTGGGCTGGCAAGGGAATAGAATCAGTCTGTGAATTGTGGGGGAGGAGGGCAGTAAGGTACAGCTATATTTGAAATTAGGATCACTCTGTGTGGGGGAAGACTTATCTAGAGTCCCCCTTCCCCTTATTTTGGGCATCGGCTACTACTGCTTCTGCCAGACAGAGCAAAATAAGGGTATCCAACTCTATTTCACCTCCACTGACCTACTTATGAAGAAACATCTTTTCTGAATTGACCAAGGGTCAGTCTCTCACGGTTACCAGGTATAAACAAATTATGAATGCTTTCCCCATAGTCCAGCTACTTCCACAGTCTTAACAGTAGCAACCTCCAGTAAATATTACATCACCGGATAACTTCTTAGAGGCCCCAAAAGAATGGGCTCAGAGTGCCTGAGGCTCAGCCCAATGCACGGGGAATTTGTTTTATGCTGCAGTGTGAGGAAGCTAGCTCTATAATACTGGACAGTAGTTCAGGTGTAATGAAGATGTGAGGCCCAGTTCTGCTCAGACTGACTCTAGCTTCCCAAGTTTTCTAGCCAGTTACCTGTCGGCGTTCAGCACTACACCAGTTCCTATTATACCTCCGCCAAAGGTAAGGGGCTGTAACCACTGCCCAGTAGTTACTTCCATAGGAGGGAATAAAGCCCACAGCAGGACCGGGACAAGAAGCCGCCCTCGGCCCGTACCCCCAGGCAGCGAGGCGAGGGTAGCCCTGCCTGTGGAGAGCGCCCCGCCCCCGCATTCTCCCTCACAGACAGGACTGTGGGGAAACGAATTCAATGGGAGGGATTTCAGGGGCACCTGGGAAGAGCTTACACCGGAGAAGGGGCAATGTGCGGCGAGTGCATGTATTCGGGAGGCCGGGCTGGGCCGTGGCGCGTCTACCTGGAGACTTCAAACGTGCCCGGGAAGTTTTCACCCTTATTTCCCAGCACCGCCTTTCGCTGCCCCGCCGCGGGAGGAACCCAGCCCGCTCAACCTCGCAAGGGAGGGGCGTGTTCTGGAGGGAGCGGCCTCACAACCCTGCCCCGCCGCTGACTACGAACGCGGGAGGGCGCTCTTAAGTGGTTGATCGCGTCGTCCATCAGGCTGAAGGCTCCGTCCAGTAGATGGCGCTGAGGAGACCCAGGCCCCGCCCGCCCGACTCAGTGGAGGAACGCGCTCAGAGGCAAGGTCCTCACCGTGTGAAACCAAGGTACTTCCACCCCGCAGCGCTAGAGCCCCGGCAGCTTCCCAGGCCGTCTGCTCTCTATGATGCTAGGGCAGAGTGTGGGGGCTCTCCGGCATCACCCTGCAAGGGGGGCTGCCGGAGCCTGAGGAGGACGGAGCGCAGCTGGCTGGGCGTAAGGAGTCTCCGAAGGGGCGGGGAGGGGGGGGCGCTGGCTGGGGGGGAGGGCGGGGTGTGGGTGTAAGGAGCCTCCGAAGGGGCGGGGCGGGTGTAAGGAGTCTCCGAAGGGGCGCTGCTGGCTGGGGGAGGAGGACGGGGTGTGTGTGTAAGGAGTCTCCGAAGGGGCGGGGAGAGGGAGGCGGGTGTAAGGAGTCTCCGAAGGGGCGGAGAAGAGGATCCCCTTGCAGGCTGCAAGGCAGCGGGCGGAGCAGCCCTGGGTGCAGGGGGGGCGGGCTCTGAGGGAGGAGCGGAGGCGGGGAGGGACACTCGTCTCTGCTCCCTCCCCACGGCGCTAAGTCCGGTGTAACAAAGCCTTGGTAACGGGGTTGCTAGCGCGCTGGTCGGCGCCTGGTAACCAGGCGCTGCCCCTTTAAGCGGCGGGGGTGTTGCCTTGCCGGAGGGCGGGGAAGATCCGAAGTCCCCTTCGGCGCCCGCCCGCCCGCTCGCTCTGTGCTGGAGCTGGCAGCTTCCCCCATCCCCGTTCTCACTCCCATGCGGGCTGCCGGGACAACGATACTCTGGGCAGCGCGGCCGCAGGCAGGCGGCTCCTCTCGATATGTCCCGGGGGCTCCCTGTCTGCTGAGCCCGCGCAGGTCCCGCCGGAGCCACCCCAGGGTCCCATGAGTTCAGAGCTGCCCCGCGCCTCGCCGCTCCGCGCTCTCTTTAAGATGGAGCCGGCTCCGTCCGCCTCTGAGTTGCTGGTGGGAGCTTCCGAGTTCCTGAAAGGTGAGAGCCTGAGGGACACAAGGCTTCCGGCTGCCCTGGCCCCGGGACTCTGCCTGGCTGCCTTGGCCCCGGGGGATTGTGGCTCCTGCCTTCTCCTTCTTATCCCTGTAGTTCTGTGGTCCTCGCCGTCCTATCGCTGTCCCCGTCGCTCACGGACCCAGCTCCCCTGGGCTGGGGCTGGTCGTGTTTAAGCCGGTTCCTCCCGTCTCCGTTCGGGTGAGGAACCAGCCGGCACCTGTTGCCACGGGCTCTGCGCTGGGTAAAAGCCGCTCCCATGGCTGTCCCTGTAGCGAGCCCGTCCCGCCCAGCCCTCTCCTGGGGGGACAGCAGCGTGCGCCTAAGCGCAGGCAGCCCGACTTTCTCTTCTCCCTTCTACGCAGGAGAAATGTAGCGATGCCCCGCCCGCTCGGAGGCCGAGGATTAGAAAGGGCGGGTGGAGATTGCTCTGTTACCCCCTAGCCTGGAGCTGCCCCTGCTGGCCGGGGGGAATAGTAGGGGCGGGTTGGGGGAGGTAGAGAAAGCGAACCGCGACATCTGTACATCCTTCGTCAGTTGCCTTCAACTTTGTTTCAGATCGATTATATTTTGCTACTTTACGGAATAAACCCAAAAGCACGGTAAATACCCACTATTTCTGTACTGATGAGGAGCTGGTCTATGAAAAGTAAGTGTCTTTTAGTTTCCATTGTCCTGCAAGGCTCTTGTTAACTGCTTAACTCTCTTGTTAATTGATGCATTTCAGTCCTCTGTAATGAATGGAGTGTAGTAAAGAACCAAACATTTATGGTGAACGACATCGCTTCCTCCCCTTAAAGAATAACAAGACTGCAGTGCTGTGGATTTGTGCTGGACATGGCCCACCTTGATTACCATGCACATTGTAGGGAGAGTGGTCACTTTGGATGAGCTATGACCAGCAGGAGAGTGAGTTTGTGTGTGTATGGGGGTGGGGGAGGTGAGAGAACCTGGATTTGTG